ACTCCTCTCAGGAGTCCGACGGCCCAGACTTCCAGTCTTTCTGCCAGTTCGCTTGCTGGCTAGGAGAGACCCTTTATCACGATGGGTGTTGGGTCCTAGTTTGGCACGCTCGTCACCCACACGCTGTCTTCAGGTCATTCCTAACTCAGTTTGGGACAGGCGCAGTGGTCGCCGAGTATGCCCGTCTTAGGTAAAACGGGCCGAACGGTGAGTGGGCCTACGGAGACCCTAAATTCTGATCCTAATCCAGGGGGTTCCGGCAAGCCTATCCAACAGGCTACGAGCTTCGCAAACCAAACCCCGAGGCTAGGGCTGGCTGGGAGGATTATAAGAGAGTAAATCAAAGACTAGGAAGAATATGGAAATGCATGTGAACGGCATTAGAGCGTCCTCGCCTTCAGTAGACCCCTGAATTGGCAAACCAGTCTGCACATCTTCGGATATTTCTGCTGTTTGAGCAAGTTCAACCTCTTCTCTGAGGCATATCGGTGCCATGCCTCTATGGTAAACGCTAGTTACACCAGACGGAACACCAGAATGCGGAAAGTATACCAGTGTAAAGATGTACTCGTCCGGCCTCTTACATCCCATAGGCATAATGCTGTAATATGCACGCATGATTCAAGGGTTGAATGTTTCCTCTTACCCTCGGGCGAGGTCCTGGGACACTGATTTGCCAGGCTGGGCCAGTAACTGGGGCATCTAGGGGTATGATGCTTAATATACATAATATATTCATTAAATAAAACTCGGCTGTTAAGAACATCAATATCAAATCTTTCTATCTTGGTGAAACTCCCATCCCTTCGCAGATCACCCAGTCCCTTCTTCCGTAGGAACAACATTCACACATCATATATTCCACTACCAAATACTTTATCCAGATATCACTATATCTAAACCCTTATCCTGGGATATCAAGCTTGAATGAATAAGCTGCATCCAACAGTTACAGGGGGAATATATAGAGTGCAGGTCCCTTTTCTCCTGCTCACCACAACCTGCCCCCATCTCGAATATCCACTTCGAGGGCCATGTGAAGCTGCGGCGGATGCTGACGCCACAATTTGGGCTGTTGAAGAGTATAAGTCTAAGTAGGATTCACGTGCGTTGCTTAATCAAGCACGACCGAGACTCCGCCGCTACTTTATCTCTGTGAACGGAAATAAGCTCAGGACTGTCAGTTATGGGGAAGAAGTTGTTTGTATTATAGTGGCCTGGCGAATAATAATAAGAACAATGAGACCCCCTCGGCAAAGTTTAAGCATATATCTCCCAAGGTTTATAGCGTTATCCCCTCAAACTCTTAATCCATCACGAGATGATTGTTACAGTTGATACTAGGAAACCATAAACCGTTTTGCTGAGATCTATTAAAGTGTCGGTGCTCCCCTGTCCCTGTAGCCTCGGATCAGCATCTACCCTACTCCTTGAGTAGACAATACAACCCTAGCCTAGAACGCGAAACTTCTTCCTCTGCATAATAGTTGCAGCCATGATGGAGAACTCTGCCAGCATCTGGGCCACAAACTCATCCTCCCGTCGGCATGAACGCGCCGATCCCCCGCCTCCATACAAGCGTACGAAACAAGGGATACCGACCGATATCACCTTGAGACACCGCAACCATCGGCCTAGTCCAGCGACAGCACAAAGTGTCCTCAAAGTTGCCATGCTGCCCTATTCGGGAGGGGAGTTTGCCCTCCTGGAGAGCATCTATCAGAGCGATCTCGAAGTCCGCGTGCCAAAACAGAGTCGCAGAGCCCGCTCCAGCTTCATCTCCCGGATCTTCAAATGCGCGGAACACAACTCGTCCGCCCGACGGCAGCCGATAGGCGCCGACGAAACCGGCAAGATGGCGCCCACCCCCTCGACCGCATCGGGCCGGGCGAGGTCGAGAGGACCGTTGGAGGATTTTACGACTGGAGCCGGGACTGGGACCTCGTGCTCTCCACGAACAACGAGTCCAGGGCCTTGAGGGACGGGTCCAGCACCGGCGATGAGTGGAGGACGTACGCGCAGCTGTACTTCAACGACCTATCGGATCTCGGTAGTGATGCCGTCCCCTGGAACGACGCGGCTAGGACGCAGAGGTTGGTCGCGGATGTACTTCCCCGCTCAGACGCTAAGAAGGGCTGGCTCAAGTTTACTTGGAAGTTCTGCGAGCGGTCGGAGAACCCGCGGTGGGGGGCCAGGTTCATCATCTACTACAAGGGCCGAGGGGCACTGGTGGGAGTGGATGGCTCGGGGCCGATAGCCGGTATCGAGAGACCCTGGCGCTTCTTCGATACCAAGGACTGTGTCATGTAAATTTTCGACGAATGTGCCGCGTTTATGGGGCGTACTATTGAGCTATATGCTAATCACGCATAGGGCCGAGATGGACCGCCGCACCGGTTCCGGACGTTACAAGAAGGTGATGTGGTATAATTCCAAGCACGGGTATGGCAACAATGTGCTCCACGAGCCCGTGGAGGCGCGAAAGAGCGCTCACAACGCGCGATATGCAGATTTCGTCAGGGGTCTGCTACCTCGATTTCCTTAACCATATGGATGGTTGGCTGCTCTCCGATGTGGCACCCTAAAAGGTGTGGCCATGTGGAGGGTCTAGGGGGGCGATCGTCTGTGGAAGGTCTGGTCATTAGTCGATACGCAGTCTGCTTTTTGAACGACATGAAATAATAGTCTCAACTTTGCGCTACCATAGTTACTCCCTAATCGTCGTGAAGATCATCTATCAGTGGCTCATAGGGCCACGTGAGACTCCGCGCCATATTTGCCGAGACGAGCTCGTTTAAATCCGCCAGGAAGCCCTCCATGTCATACTCAGGCAAGTCGGGTACCTCACCCTCGCCGACGAGCCCAGAATCCCCCGCGACATCCCCCGCCGCGTCTGGCTCCACCTCTGCCAGACGCTCTGTAAGCCTCTTCTCCTCCACGGCCGCTGTACCATTATTCCCCGCCAGCCCCGACAGGAACCGGATGATGGACGCCATGACGGCCTTGCACTGGCCTCTGCTCTCGGGCGGGAGCTGCCTCTTCCCCGCCACCCCAGCGAGCATGTGGCCCACGCCTGCCAGCTGCTGTAGTAGCGGCGACCCGATGGCGCGTATGTACTCTACGGGAATCGTGCCGATGGTGGCGATCATGCTGTCGGCCGTCTGGCACGCCGAGCGGAAGTCGCCATTTCCGAGCGTGGATATGATGCGGGCCAGGTGGATCGTGCAGACGATGTGCGACGCCTGGAAGCCGCAGCGGTTCCGGCCGCTGTCTGACGGCGAGCGGGAGTACGCCGACGCGAAGTGCGGGAGGATGTCGTCCTGGATCCGCGACAGCTTGTCCGCTATGGCGCTGGGCGCCGGTACCCCTCCCGCACCGCCCCCGAGGATAGACGTGCGCGGCCGCCGGCGGACCCTGAACTCGGCGATGACGTGCTCCAGGACGCGGTACAGGTCCGTCGTCGCGTTCCACCCCGAGAACCAGTCCTCGAAGTCTCCGTCTCGGCCCGGCACGAAGGCGGGGTGATGCGCGCCGCAGGGGTACTCCACCGCCGCGTAGACCTCGGAGCAGCGCACCATGCTCCCGAAAACGCACGTCGTGTGCACCTCGAGCCGGTACATCAGCCACCAGAGCCGCCTCCTGACCTCCGTCTCGCACTCGTCCAACCCCGGCGGCCACTGCGCCTCATCGTGGAGGTTCCAGTGCGCGCACAGGCCGTGGTACAGGCCGAGGTATTTGTGCGCCATGGCCCTGCGGTTGCTCTGGGCGCCCAGGAGCGCGAGGAGCCCGTAGGAGCGGATCAGGTGGACGACGCACGCCGTGGACTCGAAGTCGAGGGGTACCGTCCGGACCGCCTCGGCGAGGTACTCCTGAGAGAGGGAGGCGCACTCGGCGGCGGCGGGGACGTGGGTGTCGTCGGTGAAGAGGGCGCCGCAGCCGACGTGGTGCGCGCTTAGGGCGCACATGCACACGAGGCTCACGTAGTCGGACTGGCTGGCCGGGAAGGAGCCGTCGCGCCAGCCGAGCCAGAGGTCTCGCTCGCAGAAGAAGGGGAATCTAGCCTCCGGTGGTCAGACAAGATGGGACTCAAGACGGAACGCAGGTCACATCGCAGCCCGAGGAGGTTCCTGGTGTCTTACATGGGGTGGATAGTGTCGAGGTATACATCCAGCAGCGCACTGACGGTTTTCCTGTCCCTGATGACCGGTACGGACTGGACGGCTCTATCTGCATCCTTTAATGGTACGTCGACGAGCCGGTAAGCTAGCTGTGTCGATCCAACACCCAGGTCGCCCTCGTCCTGCGGTAGCCGTGCATGATTCCGAGAGTCCCGGGGCTTGGTACCGCGGACTTTTGGCTGCCGACGACGAGTGCACTCCTGTCCGTACTCGATACAGGTTAAGCAGGATGCCGGCGCGATCTGGCCGTGATGGGGCTGGGCGCCCTTGCACTTGATCCCGCGCCGGTGGCAGAAGTCACAGGCCTGGGTGACACGTCTGCGTTTGGTCACGATCGGGACGGGGCTGGCAGACATTTTGATTCAGTGCTTCACTCGAGAAGTTCCCACTGCGAAGATACAGGACATGGGGAATACATGATCATGAAGTCCCCAAGGTAGAGTTGGTAAGTCGCCGACGACGGGGTAGATGGAGATTATTAAGCGGGGTTATCAATGGCATCTTATCGCCTTATCGTACCCCCTTATCAGCCCGGCTGCTACTATTAGATCGTGGGGAACGCATTGTGGAGCTTGGTGCTGGGGCGGGGTGCGGGCACTTACATGGATTGGATCCATGTCCATCAGTGACACCCGTCGGTACTTACAAGGATGTGAGTCCCATCGGCTCGGTACTGCCAGTACTGGGCTCCAGCTCTCGCCCTGTACAGGGTGGTGGAAGGCACCAGCGGACAGACACCTCGAGTCGAAAGCTTATGACCAAGAACATCGCACCGAAAAGAACAGGAGTTCAAGTTCCCCAAAAAAGAAAACCTCGAAAATGTGATCTTGGCAGGGATCGAACCTGCAATCTTTTGATGTGCTACTGCTTGTTATTGCAGATCGTAGTCAAACGCCTTGCCATTGGGCCACAAGACCTGAAGTAGTGTATGCTATCCCGAAAGGGAAATCCCTCTATCCGTCTGTGTCCAGACCGGCCCCCGTTAACCGATTTCCAACCTCGGGCATCAACATCCAATATCAATATTACTACCACATAACTAAGCAACACGAATAATGAGGTGCATTTTCTGCGTGGAGAGAACATCTACTGTATAGTTGTGGCCAATACTAAAATCTTGGAAAAATTAGTGATACACATACTATCCCCGCCAGCATGTTAACTCTGGAACTGAATACAAGAGGGCATCTAGTTAGGTAGGGAGTCTCTCCCTTCAAGGACCTTTAAAAGTATGTATAAACTCAAATAGCCCTATGTGAAGTAATATTCATCCTCAGTCCAGGGACACTACCTATCCATATAATAGTTTAGATAATGATCAAGGGATTCTAAAAGTATATCAACAAAAAATAGGTTTACGATCATCGGTCTATCGTCTGCGGTCCTAGAGGCGTCATTTTGAACAGCTATGATATCACCCTTGAAGGTGAGAACGAGTTAGAATGTAACCAAGTGCATTAGAGCAACTAGGGTTGGATTAGGCTCGGTCGACACTCAAAAAAGATTTCCTTGGCCACGTATGTATCAGGCTGCTGAAAATGGCACACCGAGGCTATCCTAAACGGCATCTAGATAAACTAATAAAACGTCAACTTTTATAAATGCCGTTCTAGATGTTGAATCTAGCATTCCTTCCTTCTAGCTCATATTTATCGCAAGGCCCGGCTCTCCTAAAATCGTAGGATCACGATTTGGGGATAACCATTGCTCTGAAATGCCGACAGTTTATCATCTATAATCAGGCCACCGCAGCTATCTCGGCAACAACCTTCTCACTCCCGATGTCCTTTTTCGCAGGATCAAATACCGTCGGCATCGTGCCAGACTCTTTGAGCGTCTTCTCTGCCTCTTCGAAGCTCGTCTCCTCGATTGGGACCACCTTGCCATTAAGTTTGCCCACCCTCGTGTCCTTTCCTGTCTCGAGCCATTGCGGATTAGTATACTCCCTCATCTGGACCAAGCCCTCCCGGAAATCTTTCCTGAATTCCTCCGTAAACTTAACCGCTGGTGCCCAGAGGCTAAGCTCCTCCCAGAACGCTTCTTCATCTCGTAGAGCAGTCCATGTTAGCGAGAACGCGATAGCCAAAAACGGGCCCGGACCCGGGATAAACCCAATCGCGAAGACCATGGCGTTTTTAGTAAAGCTCTCGAACCAAGAGCCTTTCTCGGGCTGTTTCCACATCAGGTCTAACCCACTATGGGCCTCCTGGATTGTTTTCCAGCTGAAGTCGTCGGAGTCGGGGTACGACTTAGACACTGGCACGGTCATAAGGTCTTTGTCGGGAACAATCTTGATCAGCCTGGCTTTATAGGGGTCTGTTGAACGGAACTGGCGGGGAATGGTGAGAAGGTCCACAAGCCCTCTGATGTTTAGGCCAAGAGCAGCAATTGACCATACACCAAGGCCCTCCAGCTTGGAAGTTTTGTGGGCGTCAAAGTGATCCCCGCCACGCCAGACCGGCAGGTTACGATCGATTGCAAAGTTCACCTGCACCCAGGTGCTGAGGTGTGGGTAATCCTTGGAGGACACCTGGGCAATAGGGATGTAGATGGCACGGATGTGGCCAAGTAACTGGAGTCGCGGATGTTAGACTATGCTTCTGAGGCAGGCCGATTCACACCGCAGTGAGGAGAAACGATCCGGTCCGCTCAGAAGAAAAAGAGGGACCACCAATTTA